ATATTGAATACGAAATGTATAGAAAAGGTTGAAACCAGTATCAAGTTTAAATGACATATGAGTAACTAAATACAATACATATAATTAACATATAAATACAAAGATATAAGAAAGCATTTTTTTTTCTTTAAGGGACTTTCTCTTACACACTTTTGACCAACGAAATAGATTGTATATAATTAGGGTATACGTATAATTAAGGACACGGTTTCAAAGAAGAAAAAAAGGCCCTCAAAAAATCCTGTACATGTAAAAAAAAAAACAAATTTGCAATAAACGAAGTTGGAAATGTAAATTTACTAAAATGAACAACATTTGAACTATATAAATGACTAGTTTAAACAATTTAAAGAACTGTAGACTCATCAAAAACTTAATCGGAGCTAGAGCCTCTAGGAGTAGCCGATTGAACATGAAGGTTCTGCGTCTGCGTACCCCTCACTTTATCGTTTTTAGCAGCAGTTTTATAAATCATAACTTGCTCTGGTTCATTAACTTTTACAACAACATTTGGTTTTGGATTATATTTGTATACCACTTCACCAAGAGCTTCGACTCTCCATTCACCATCATACATTTCACGACGTTCAGACCATAATTTATAGGATAAGAATGATGATATGAGGAATAATATGCCAATTATCCAACCAAAGACAATAAATAATAATTTGGAAACGCATTCTTGGGCGGCAGAAGAAGTTTCGGAGGAACAGGAATAGCTATAACCTTGGAATGTAGGATAGATGTTTGCTAGACCTATAAATTCAATTGAAATTAAGAAAATAAGAATACATCGTAGACATTGTAATATATAGATACGTATATTGAATTTGGATTTTACCTGCAGTAATCCATAATAATGCAAAGATACTATTTATATGAATAAAAAAAAAAGCATAAAAATTATATTGTATAAATTATGTGTTAGTGGAAAAAAACTATTAATAGAAAAGTTTGAGTACATACCCGTTGATTGCAATATCGCGTTTATGTGGACCAGTATAGAACAAATAATGGACCATATATACCCCTATTAGAAAAAATTAGCAACCCAAATTTATAATAAATATTGTCGTCTTTATAA